TTGAAAATGAAAATATTTGGTTTTGTTTCAAAATAATTTAATTTTAAAAAAATAAAAATAAAATAATAAAAAAAAGCACCCATGGTGGCAAAGACTACAGAACGAGACCGCCACCGTCAACGGCACCATGGGCGGGAATGTCCCAAACCCAACACATCATATATACCAAGGTAACACGTGATGATGTGCGGGAATGTCATCCCTAGAACGATGGATGCAGACTGCTTGAAATGCATGGAAGGCTTGACAAGCAGGGAGCACCACCCCCCTATATAGCATATTATGCTGTTATGGCACTGCCAGGAGGAGACATCAACTTTCGCGAGGAGTCATATTGGGCCATGAAAAAAACAATACTTGGAATTTGAACGAGATTTTTTATTTGGGCTTGTTCTACATCCACAATTCCTCGAGATGAGCCGCCTTCCCCCTTGGTCCTCAAGTTGATTCTCACCTTATTAGTTATGCAGATGCTGGTTAGTTGTCGAACCCACATAAGGCGCGTTCTCGAATGGTTTATGTCTTTACCATTAGAGACACCACAATATCTTGCAGGTCTACTAAGAAAACGCTAGTTGCGACTCTTTTGAACGATGCTGAGATTCTCACCTTGTATGAAGCCTCGCATGAATACTTTTGGTTAAGAGCAATCATGGAACACATTCAAAGCATTAGTGGTCTTAGTACCACCGTTGACCTTCTTACAACGATCTTTGAAGACACTCTAGCATGAATCGAGCAATTAAAGAAGGGATACATCAAGGGAGACAACACCAAACACATTGTGCAGAAGTTCTTTTATTCTCACCAACAACAACAACATCAAAACATCGAAGTCAAGCAAATCCGTTCCTAGGACAGCTCGGCCGATCTCTTCACCAAATCATTGCCCAAGTTTACTTTCCAAAAGCTCGTCCAAGGAATCGGTATGCGTGAACTATCTGAGTTGAATTGCTTGTAGTTCTCTTGTTTAGAAGTTATATCTAACTTAAGGGGAGTATCCCGAAGTAAACTCACTTGATCTTAATGTACTCTTTTTCATTTGATTAGGAGCATCTTTCCCACTGGATTTTTGCTACCTAACAAGGTTTTAATGAGGCACCCATCCTGGGATGATCATACTCCATTGAGGTTCATTACTTTCATCATATATGACGTTTGTTTTAGCCACTATGCATACTTCTCACTTTTCTCCTTAGTTTATGGGTTTGACCTACCTTAGGTTTTACCATATCGAAGTTTTGTGAGTTTTACTACCAATGCATACTTTCTTTAATTTGACACTTGCATTCGTCCATTGTGCCAATGACTTCATCAACTGATCTACTTCATCTGTTGAAGACCTGATGCAATGTTTTGTATGAGTATTTACACACTCAAGGGGGAGTGTTGTAGTCCTATTAGATTAGGAATGTGATTGTGTAAATCCTAAGGTATTTGGGATATCTTTAAAGGATTCTCTAGGGTTATATATTAATTATACTATTAGAATTGTAATCCTATTAGGGTAATGAATTAACCTTCCCTACTACTATAAATAAAGGCACAATGAGGTTGATATAACACACCTCACAAATACATATCTCTCTCTTTTCTCCCTGTGCCGTTGATAGGAGCATATTTATGTGACTTTGTTATCTTATTTCTTTGCATTTACTTAGTTAATTTCCATTTATTTTTGTAATTTATGTTATTTTTGTATTATTGTAGGTCCAGTTGGTAAAGATGAAATTAAAGTTGAGGCTTGAAAGGCAAGGAATTACACAAGAAAGAGGAATCCTTGTTAGAGAGGAACATTATCTTATCCTATCTTATACAACATTATCTTATCTTATCTCTAGCTGCAAAGAAGAATCCTAATCACATTCCAACACTTTCTACCTGATTCTTAGAGTTCTAAAATAATTCAAAATGCCAAAACCTTTTCCTCCTTGGATTCAGCCGTTCCCCCTATATATATGAAATTCCTGCAGTGATTTAGGGTGTGCTATGCCTATCATTCATCCATTGTAGTTGTTGGAATTTTCAGAGTTCTTTCTATCTTTGTTTTAAGTTTCAATGTTTATTTTAGATTGCTTTTTAGTTATGATGAACATGTGTAACTAAGTTTCTTTTTTGTTAAAGGTGAATTTGAAGTCATGATCATATGTTTTATATAAATTGATTACATCTAGTTATTGTTTCATAAAACATGAATGCGATTTACTTATCTGCTTTATAAAGAACTTATTCTTGTATGTTTATTAAGGGTGCACACTTAGTTTGCATGCAGGGATTTGATTCTAGAATATAAGGGAATTTTACCTAATTATAATGAACTTATATTTGTAAGTAGTAAAAGTCACTAGTCATGATTGAGCTAAATAAATTCTTGGCAGGAGTATCATGCTTTCCATGGTTACAAATGCTATGTCAATGCTTACGATTTTCACAGAACATAATGATCTTTGAGATGTATCTCTATCATGCTTTTCATAGTTAGAGAACTTGAGAAGAAGAATTTGGTTGTGTCGCTGAATCCAATTCAATGAACTTAGAAAAATCTTAAGTTAATTAGTGTTGTTCACAATTAATTTGGGGCATTGTCATTCATGGTCTATAGGAAGAATAACTGGAAATCGATTTGTATGCATATGATTCATGTGTGGAGAAGAATCCTTTAGCTATCCTTTCATCCATATTTCATTCACAACTTAATTTACTTGTTGCCCTTTAATTTTGTTTTAGTTAACTTCGTCCAAAATCCCCCCAGTCATTGTTTTGTTGTTAGTTTAACTTAATTTTCAGTTTTATAAGTTTAATTTGTGTTGATTAGCATCCCTTCTAATCCCTGGAATAGAATGATTCCTACTTACTGGTACTATAATTGCATAATTTATAAGGTTTAATTTGTGTGTTAGTTTCTACCACATAAGCTGTCGGCCACCTCTCTCCCTGTCCTTAATATTGTTCAGTAAGTGTAAATTAGGCCTACAACATTTTTTTATTTGTTACAATTCGTAATTTACATCTCTTAGTTAAGGAATTGCATTACAACGAAGATTTGCCTAGGAAGAAAGAAAGCACCAAATCCAACCGCTTACTTCTTGGTCCTGCTGGTCAAGGGCCAAGGCTTAGGCAATCGCCTCCAATGCAGTGGTAGTAATCTAATTTCAATCAAATCAAATTAAATCAGATGGCGGGGAGGGGAGGGGAGGGGAGGGTTTGAACCCGATACCTAGTAGGTTGACGAGGAACGTCCTAACTACCAGGTTAGGATTTGTTTCGTCTATGACTCATGTTTTGTTTTTGGTATAGGCAGGCAAAGGCAATAGCATCAAGGCTCTCAACCGCACCCATTCTTCTCGGGTCTCCACCGCAGTTGATGGCATTGCCCTTGTCACTGTCTTCACACTATGCAAATCTTCCACCGCCAATGGGCTCATCGAAGATCAATTCTCAAACTCGGTTACAGTTAGGAATGCTTCGTATACTAAAGTTGAGAGATCCATGGCCATCTTGACTGTCCTTTTTAACTTCATTCAGGTGTTGTAGTGTAGAATTCTGTTTAGCTTCCTCACTTTGGTTTGTGATATTATTGATACATTGCAGCTGGCAATATGCCCCGGAGCAATGTAGTCATTCTAACCGACTACGCATCTGATCTTTCACTACCCAGAAACAAGGTTACTGTGTATCCAATTCAAGGCGATTATTCGCGAGACAAGTTGATGCTTCAAAGAATCAGGTCTTACATCGTACGAGCACATTATATAAATAACGAGCAGACAAATCCTTTGCTCATCAGTAGCTATGTTTCTCACCGGCATTACCTAGTTTACTTCATTATTTTGTTTGAAATCGTCAATCCTGAAATTGCTTGAGGTTTACATCTTCACCGACGCAGATATAGCAGTTGTTGATGATCTAGGACACATATTTCGCGAATATCCGAATTTTCATCTGGCGTTGACATTCCATAACTACAAAGCACAACCTCTAAATTCAGGATTTATAGCAGTGAGGGACACTGCTGATGGAATTTTAAGGTGCGTTATCACATTATCTGCGTACTCAGAGTTAAGCATGTTGTTTAATACTAATAGTTACGTCATCTGTTTTGCGGTTATTGTTTACCAGAAAACAGAGATGAAATGTTTATTTGCGACCATTTTTTACATTTCACATACTGCAAACATTGCCTGGGTAGTGACATCACACCCATGGTTTGATGCAAAGAAGTTTACCCCAGCCCAAGCTTTCATAGAGGATATTGGTGGTGCTTCGGTGTTGTTTTTACCGTGTGCTGTCTGCAACTGAACACCACCAGAAGGCGCAGGTCAATTTCGCGGCATGCCCTTGGATGTTAAGGTATACTGCTACTATCCAACACACAAAACCTGTTAAAAAGGTGGTTGATTTCAGATGAGTTTCGTTGTTCTCCCTGCTATAAACTGAAACAAATATGATGCGGAAGTGTGCTTTTATTTTTATGTATTGTTCTTCTGAGTCTCTTGTGTGATATATTCTGGATATGGGTGATTCATTTCAAATCTGCTGTGCCTGGTATTAAAGAGTGCGAGAACAAACTATGATTTTCGACTAAATCAAACAGGTTTAGCTTAGCATATGAACTACATATCAGCAATTTGATCTGGGACCTGCTGATTTCGTTTGAAGAGAGAATGGATGCTGATTTCGTGGCATTGAAAACATGTAACTGGCATTCGGATTGCTTGTCATGATTATTTAAATGTCGGCATGATTATTTAAATGTAGCACCTGGTAGTTCAACAAAAAGTTCATATGAACTACATATTTCCGCCCTACTCTGGAATATGATTCTCGTACTGGATTCGATCTTTGAAATTTTTTACTTCTGCACCCCAATTTTATGGCAATACTGAATATGGATATAATGTACTTGAAACATATTGGAATCAATGTGAGAGAGAGCGGGGAATAAATCATCGGTTACACCCAAGAGTAGGTTTTGTGAAATTTATTCATAACACATCAACAAGGAACTTATTTTTCTATAAACTGTAACTAGGCATTGTCAATAACAGGACCATTTTGACAAAAACAATTGGAAAATTAAGAAAGAAATAATCGACATACGGTGTTAGTATCAAGAACTCTACAGTTAAGAGCATTTATCCTGCCGGGGCACCCCCTTTGTCCACTATTCTTGAAATGTCTTCAAACACAGTTTTAATGTCAGGTCTTTCGGATGCTGGATGAATACATCTTAGAGCTACCTGTAGCATACCATCAAGAACTCTTGGGGAGTTCTTTACACTCAGCCTTTCCAGAATCAGTCTGTCAAGGCATTCAAAACAACGGTTTTCTTCTGCCAACAGTCTCACCCAGTCTGTCAGATCAACCACACCCCGTATCCCAGAGACAATCTCCCCGGAACTCTTTCCAGTCAGGAGCTCCAACAAGATCACCCCAAATGCATAGACATCACTTTTCAACGATGGGCAGGGCTTACTTGAGCTAGCAAATTCAGGGGGGCGATAGCCAAGAGCACCTGCATTCAAGACTTGCTCAGTAGTCCCAGTGGGAGTCAAAATTCGGTGGAGACTATAATCTGTAAGGAGTGCATTCAGACTAGGAGTTTCTAATAAAATATTCGTGGATTTGAGGTTGCCATGGGGAATTGCCTTCTCATTATGCAGGAAGTTCAGACATCGGGCAACATCTACAGAAATCCTAAGCCGTTCCTCAAGTGACAGGGGAGAGAGTTTTGTTCGCTCTGCCTCTGTAGAGTCAGAAAGATTCAGCAACCAATGTCAGATTCAGGGATAAAAAGAGAAACAAATTCGAAAACGGACAAAATAATAAACAAACATCAGTGGCACTCCAGTTTTGCTTTCATTGAAGGGAACTAACCTAACAGTTTATAAACCAAAGTAAAATATCAAAGCGTAAAAGTCATCAATGTCAGCCAAATAAAATCTAAGTACGCTAAGATACACTCTTTTTTCTCTTGACAATTTTCAGTATGCAGTTTTGCTTTCGTTGAAGGGAACTCTAATCTAACAGTTTATAAACCTAAGTAAAATATCAAAGCGTAAAAGTCACCAATGTCAGCCAAATAAAATCTAGGTAGGCTAAGATCTAATCTTCTCTCTATGGACAATTTTCAGTGTTTTAGTACGTATGGATAGACCCGGTGGCGCATATTTAATATTTTCTAACAGATGGTACAAGTATATTTGAGATGCTTATTTGCAATCGTACAATAAAGCACAAAGAGCGGAATCTTACCATGGAGATGGAATGCCAACGATTGTGCATTGATATAAGTTGATATAATCAGTTTCTCATGTTCTTTAGGGCCCCAGTAATAACCCAGCAGAGAAACTAGATTCGGGTGCCTGATGTTTCCTAGTTTCTTCACTTCTCTTGCAAATTCTTTCCTTCCTTTTGCTATTCCCTCCCGTAGCCATTTGACAGCCAATACATGACCGGAGTCGAGCATTGCTTTATACATTGTCCCATGACAACTCCTTCCAATAGCTTCTGCTGGAGCACAGGAAAGTTCTTCTGCTGTGAAGGCCAAGGAGCCATCAAACAGATGCAAATCACCAGCCAATTTATCTGGAGAATAAGCTGTGAGCACAGCAGCACTCTCTGGTGGCTGTGGCTTTTTAAAGGGTGATGGATTCGACGATGATAAGAGAGACATAGGAGAAGATGTCCCTTCACCCCTTTCTTTTGATTCAGGATGACCCAAATTCTTAGGATTCTTTACAAGAGACGAAGTGTCACGGGCATCATGAGCAGACCCCATTTGGGTTGATGGTGAAAGCTTTGGAAGGAGATCACAAGAAGATTTTGAGCAGTCTATATTTTTGTCCGGTGCTGATCGATGACGATGAGAAAGGGCAGAACCTCCTTGCACAGCATCTTTCTTTCCAGAACTTGCTTTTGAACTGCCCTTTCTACATCTCTGCCAGTGGGACCTGTAATGGATCATAAGGCATAAAAGAACTAAAACAGCAGCTCCACCAACCAAACCTGCAATGAGGGAGATCCTAATAGCTGCTTTCATAAGGGGCCTGTGTTCCCTAAAAGTCATGTTTGGGACATCCTTCGGTGAAGATGCGGAACGAGGAAAAATCAGCAATGAGTTCCCTGGATAAAATGCGGAATCAGGGAACTGCCGCAAGTTTTCAGGTATGACGCCAGAAAGATGATTGAAAGAAACATTGAACTCTTTCAGGACATCTGGAAGGTCCTCAGGAATGCTACCTTCAAAGTTGTTATTAGATAGATCGAGATACATTAAGTTACGGAACTTACTGATCTCTGGGGGCAAATGACCGGCCAATGAGTTGTTTGACAGATCTATAGACACCAGGCTCAAATTTTGAGCCGAACCACTTGAAGAATCACTTGATATGTCCTGGATGGGTATTGACCCAGACAGATTGTTGCCCGATAAGTTAAGATCAGTCAATTTCGTTGAAGAAAAAAAGCTTGGAAGAAGTAAGCCTTGTAGGTGGTTGAGGCTAAGATCAATCACATTTAATTCTGGGTATGTTCCCAATACTGTCGGAAGAATGCCTTCTAATGAGTTCTTGGATATCTTAAATGAAGTTAGCCTAAAAAATTGAGACGTTTGATTAGGCAGACTTCCTGTCAATGAATTGGAACTTAGCTCGATAACTTCAATGTAATTTCCCCAACCTCGGATTCGGGACAAGTTACCTGTGAGCATATTATTACTCAGATCTATGACAGAACAATGCCCAACCATGGCAGGTAAGGAGCCTGACAGTTTGTTTGAAGAAATATTAAACTTCTTCAGAGTTGCAGAGGTGATGCTTCCTACCGGACCTGCCATGAAGGTAATCAGTGTGATCATGTAAGAAGGAAAGGGAGGGAAAAACAGTAAACAAATGCAATTAAAAATTCAAGATGATATAATCACTTTTAAAAACTGGCGACTTCAACCAACAAACATGAAATCACGCAAAAGAAGATTTCCTCGTACTGAAATAATGGAGCCTTTACCCTAAAGTTGCTTTCTAAAATTAATATGCTTCTCCACCCATGATTCCATCTACATCAACATAGTTTCATGCGAAGATGCTAATGCAACCATGACAACATAGCCGTCTGATTTCTCTTAGTGACAAGACGTTAAAGATTAATTTCCTAAAGCAATGGACTTTCTGATAAGTGTGAGAAAGTTTACTCAAGCTTATAGTGGAAGAATAAATAACTAAATCAAAGCCTTTCTTTCATTACATCGTAAGTGATTTTACTTGTTTATTTTCAATCTACAAGTATGAAAAAAGAAAGTCTAACGAAACTTTCAATTTGAAATACAAAAGGACAAATATGTATGTAAAATCTCTTAGCAACAGCTAACATGTGTAAAAAACTGTTGAAAACGCAATATACCTTCAAGTTCGTTATGACTAAGATCCAGTTCTGACAAGAGCATTGAGCTCTCTTGCAATAGAGCTTCCGGTAGAGAACCTGATAGCTGGTTGTTTCCAAGCCGAAGTACTCGTAGAGAGACAACAAAATTGAAGGAAGGTATAGGACCCACTAACTGATTATAACTAGCATCAAACACCTCCAAACTATCAAAATATGGCATTCCATCGTGAGGAAAAAGCTCTCCAACCAAGGAATTGTGGCTAACGTTCAAATACTGAATAGAGGAAACAAAAGAGGAGTTACCAAGTCCCAAATCTAATGAACCAGATAACAGATTGCTGCTTACATCAAGATGGACCACGCTACCCATTTTGGATAGAAAATTCATAATGTCTCCAGTAAAGCCATTAGCTCGAAAATCAATAAACTTCAACTGTTCAAGTTTGCCAAAACTAGAGGGCAAAATGCCTTCAAATTGGTTCGAAGAAAGATTCAAAAGCACTAGACCCTTTAAGTTGACCAAATCGGAGGGTAATAGCCCATGAAACAAATTGCTTGAGAGATCCAAGTATTCAAGAGACTGAAATAAAGCAACCTTTGAGATGGTCCCTGTGAGCTGGTTGTTTGAAAGCGACAAGTTTTGAAGCATTGTAAGGCCAGTAATGGCTGAAAAACTGAAGTCACCAACCAAACCAACATCATTGATAGCAATTGAGATGACGCGACCATTACTACATGTTACCCCAAACCAATTTAAGGGGCATCCATCAGAGTCCAAGGAGTTAGAATCCCATGAAACAAGAAGTTTCCCCGAAGGGTCCTTGTGAATGCCTTTCCGGAGGTCTAAGAGTGCTCCCAAATCTGACTGTCCTCCTCCCGATGAAGTTACTGCTAGTACCAACAACAATAGCATCGAACTCAAACAGATTGTCTGCATTACTCCTTGAGCAGCCAGAATCCAGCAGCCAAACTTGAGGGAAAGAAAGAGTGATAACGTAATCGAGTTAGCAGGAAACAAAGGAAGATGTTACAAAACAAAGAACCCATCCTGCTAGTTAATTTGCTAGGAATGAATGAAATGAGAGTAAAGTAAATATTGAAAAATGAATGAATGAATGATTCCACAACCACAAAGGGTACCCATGGTCATGATGTATAATCAAAGAGTGAAGCCAATGCCATTGTTTGTTTGTCACAAATCCAAAACACATCAAGTCATCAATGTATGTTCAAAATACAACAAAACACAAAATTTGTACTCAACAGTCAATCAGTGACAGTCACATGAGAAATAAAAAAGCAAGAGAATAATGTAATACTTTTCCTTGGTAATGCCAACTCCAAGCACTTAGCAGGCAGCACTAAGTGAGAAGAAGAAGAAGAAGAAGAAGAAGAAGAAACAAACCAAAAAGGGAGAGTGAATGAAATGAAGCTCCAACTCCAGCTCCTTCCAAGCTTCGTCGTGAAATGGGAAATTCAGAATGGATCTGTGCTGCTGTCTAAATCATAAGCATTGGAAATTTGGAAGCAAAAGAGCGAAACCAGAAGCTGCACTCTCCATTCTCTCTCTCTCCAAGAACTCTTCTTCTTCATAGACATCTGTGAGAGTGAGAAAATTCAGAGGAATAAGAGCAAACTAGCAAGGGATGCCCGCGGGATTGAAAACCATAAGAAAACTTAGTATATAGTACTATTTATTTACTAAAGATAATACTTGATGTGTACAGACATACTATTTACACACGAAATATTTGGTAGATAGACCTATTTACATACAAAAGAAATAGAACCCAATACATCAGTTGTCAAAGGCATGTTTCTATGAAATGATATAAAATCTTCGCACTAGGGTGAACAACTCGAATTGGATTAAGCATTGTTTAATTTGAAGACCATAAACTCAGCAGGGTAAAACTACAAAACTTGTGTTTTCTTAAAACCACTATATTTTGTATTCCAAATTTCGTAGCAGCCAAACACTATATGAAGCTCCAACCAAAATGAACAAAGAAAATCCTAATAAGAACAACGAGGCTAAATTACAGAACTTGGGTGTTTCTTAAAACCCCAATCCCATGATATTTTAAATTCCAAAATTTTCTGGGCAGCCAAACACTATCAAACGAACATGATAAAGAAATTGCTAATAACAACAAATGGGAAAAATAACAGAACATGGGAATTTACATAAACCTACATACTAAAAAGACTCGATGTAGTTTCACAATTTGATTGGTTTATGCGTATTACATATGGAATCAATAAGTTTCCTTGTACATATTTGCCTCATTAATCTGCAAAAAGAATCAAACATGGGAAAGTTTACATGTCATTGTATAGACATCTAACATAATCACTTTTCTTGCTCCATGATTGAACTGAAGATTTTCTTTCTTTAACAACAAAGTGAAATCAAATATAACCTGAAAGTTAAACAATGTAATATGTTTTTAAGTCAACTGAATTGAAGTATGTGACACGATCAGTTAAGATGAATATTAACTTGGTTCTCAGATTAAACTGCTAGCAATAAGTTCTAACTTCTAAAACAAAATATACTATGTCTAATATTAGACAAATAAAAGCAAACACCTCAGATATAGTGGCAAAGGAAAATGGAGTTCACCTTAAACCCAACCCAAGAACCTCTCGACACACCAAGAACCCCATATCCGAAGCGAAAGACAGATTTGGCACTCTTGACATATAGAAAGAATGTTTTATGTCTATTATAAAATTTAACCAAAAACAAACACAAATGCCATGACAATTGGCATTTTATAGTAAAGGATATTTAAGTTAGCCCTATTTTGAGCAAAGATGGTTGAATTGCACTCATCAAACTTTGTATTTTCAGACTTGGGTAGCTGTTCTGATACCGAGGTAGTTTATTGGCCTTGCTAATAAGTTGTATGTTATATTGGTTTTTCCCTTTTTTTGCCAAGCTTTGTATTTTCAGTGTTTCAAATATAAAAAAAAAAAAATATTACACAGTTTTCCAATATCATTAAAACGCGTCTCACACTATTTTATGTGCTAATATACCAATGTACACGTGTAGTGGATTAATGACAAAGAGTCAAAGACATTTAACGTGTGTGTGTCTCATAAAAATTTCATTTACCTAGGAATGATGTTTCTTTGGCCCCCAATCATATATGAAAGACATTCTAATCAAAATTATCCCAGAAACCCTCCTGAATATGCATTTGGTTCGGTGCTAAAATTATACCAAAAGTAAATAAACAGCATTTTACAGGTTATCAACTTAATCATCCAAATCAAAGCAAAAGTAACTAACTGGAGATGTGAACATGCATTTGTGGGCACATGACTGTGACCCCAGCTACCCACAAAGGAAGCAATAAATTTTTCAACATTGAAGGTGAGATGTTAGACATTAAATGAGTGTACTTTTATCTCTTTTTCTGGAGTCTAAAGTTATACCAAAACTAAATATATAGCATTTTCCAGGATTTCAACATAATCATCCAAAAAGAACCAAAGCAAAGGTAATTAACTGGAGATGTGGACGGGAAAATGCTAAAAGCAACCTAAAATCAACATTATGCATATATATAAAACAAAAGTTATACCACATCTTTCAATTGCTATTGAGGCCTCCTCCATTGTGTACCCCATATTGACGAAGGCCCATATCTTCTCTTTCTCCGATGTAGAATTTATGTTTTCCTGCAAAATAGGTAATGAAATTTCTATGAGATACACACATCTGTGAAATGTCCTTGACTCTTCGTCACGAATCCACTATCCTGTGTACCTTGGCATAATAGCACATAAAATAGTGTGAGATGCGTTTTAATGATATTGGAAAACTATGTAATATTTTTGTTGTTTGAAGGATTGGGGAAACAGAGAAAATACAAAGCTTGGCGAAAAAGGAAAAACCTATATAACATACAACTTATTAGCAAGACCAGAGTTGGATGCTGGGATATATAACAGAGTTGGATATCCACTTTGACCCACTCTTTCTGCAAACAAAAACCAGAGTTGGATGTTGGGATACATATAGCAAGTAAAAACTAGAGCAGCAAAGATGTCAGCTTTACCCGAAACGAATTATAATTCAAAACCATGAACTAGGTTAAATGCCACAAATCTACCAAAAAGGAAATTCCAATTTCGCTCTGTTCAGTTTAAAATCAGATGGTATTTGTTGACTATGGCAACAATGAATAACCACAACAATCCACGATTCTCACGCGAAAATCCACACCCATCCAACAGTCTACTACTTCGATGTTGAATGTGGGATAGCAGCAATGAGGGCTTTGAAGGCTACCCCTCTGCCTCTTTCCTTCTGTCTCTTTCCCTCTGTCAAATTTTTGACCACATGGACAACGAATTACAACTTCTACTGTAAACAACACCACAGCTAAACCCTAAACATGGCGCATTTTTCCAAATCCCACCACTCATTAATACAGACAAGCCCATTTGCACATAAACAATTAGAACTAAGTGGAAAAAGAAAGGAAAAAAAAAAAAAGAGAGAGAGAGAGCAAAGAAAAGGCTTATATAAACTATCTTATGACTAAATGCAGTCTTAAGAAGAAGACGAAGAAGAAACAAACCGAAAAGGGAGAGTGAACGAAATGAAGCTCCTTCCAAGCTTCGCCGTGAAATGGGAAACTCAGAATGGATCTGTGCTGCTGCCTAAATCATAAGCATTGGAAATTTGGAAGCAAAAGAGCAAAACCAGAAGCTGCACTCTCCCTTCTCTCTCCAGGAAACTCTTCTTCTCCATAGTCAAAGGAGTAGGAGGAAATTATTTGCCAGAGAGCGGAGTAGGTGGACTCACTCACTCGATGCTATCCTTGTTATTATTATGACTTCAAAATCTTCTACGCCCAATTTTACCCAAGGCCTCTCTGTGACTTAATCAGATTTTGACACGTGTCCACGACCAACTTCAATTCTGGCCGCCTTTACCTATCAGAGTAAACATACAACACAAAATAAAATCAAATAGAAAAAAAAGAAGGAAGATCATGCCACAGAAGAGGAACCGCCTACAACTCATCTCCTCAATCGAGGAACTCCGCCCCATAATCCAATCTCCGAAGTTCTACAGAACAGCCTTCAGCTGGCCCGAAAAGTCCTCGCGACGCCGCGCTGGAACTTGTACGAGACCATACAATTCACGGAAAATATGGAGTCGTTTGAGAAGACGGTGTCCAGATTTCTTCAAGACCAGTTGCAAGCTGTAGGCCCACATCTTGGCTAACGTCCACCACATGAAGGCGGAGGCGGCTTAACGGTTCGACCGGCTTGATTGGTCGAGCCGGATGCTGAAATAGCGGCTTGGCGCCTTAAATATTGGAAATTGCGGCGGTGGGTGGATGAAAGAGGCTGTGAGGAGGAGGCGCATCAACGACATCAGGGGAGAGGGAGGGAGAAAGAGAGAGAGAGAGAGTTCTGTGTAATTCTTCGTTGGTTTTTTTTTTTTTCATTTTGTATTTTGTATTTTTTAGAGTTAAAACGGCGGTTAGAATTAAGTTAGTTGTGGACACATGTCAAAATCTGATTAAGTCACAAATTATTGGGAAATTTAAAAAAATAACTAACATCTAGATCCAATATATAATTATAATCATCTTTTAAGGTTTATCATAATTATAGTCCAAACTTGATATAAAAATACTAATATATCCTTCATTACTAAAAACCTTCAGAAAATGAAAAAAACTTGATCATCATTGTCGACATCCCGCCCTCTCTCACATACTTATCCCTTATGGAACTTGAACCCTAAATTCCTCGGCCAATTTACGGTTGAATTGAATTGCACTGCAGATTAGACTGATAGCACAAATTCGAAACAAATCAAACAGAACCCTAGAAAATCAAACCAAACCCAAATTCGTCAACATCATTCAAAAGTTTTCTTTTCTAGGGCGACTTTGTTACAGGACATAGATTCAGGATATGGTTTCATATCCTTCCGTTCTTCCTCCTGCCCCAGCTGCAACAGGTTTTGTAATCACTACAGACAAATATGAATTATGCACTGATCCCATTGTCTCCATTTATTCCTGCATTCCTATCATTCTCCCCTGTACCTGCCTATATATTAACACCTAACCCCTCCCTCCCCATAAACCCCTCATCTCTCTCTCTCTCTCTCTCTCTCTCTCTCTCTCTCTCTTCATTGTAAATTTTAATATGGCATGGGTGACTCAGAGAATGATGTTATGGACATGGTTTCTAACAAAATTGAGAGGTGCCACTGGAGTTGTTTTGTACATGATGGGTATGGGAGGAGGTGTTTTGTACATGATGGGTATGGGAGCATCGCGTGGTAATAGCGTTGCAAAAGCTTTTGGAGGCACATTATATTTTTAACGTCACATTGTAGAAAGGGCATGATTGCATTAACAATATATTAGTACCTTCACATCAAATTTTGGTTATAATTACAATAAATTTAAAATGATGGCTATTATTCTACATAGATCTGAATTCTATTTATTTTTCCAAATTTTTGAATAATGTAGATGCAGAGGCGAGGAAACCCAGACAGAGACAAGATCAAGAGACGGAAAGCTTCTTCACTTTTTTAAGTTACAGAGTTGCAGCTAACAATGTGGAGTTGGGCCTCCATCTCACTCTGGATCATGCCCTTTTTAACGTTTTTCTTTTTTTTTTTTTTACTTTTTGAAGTTAAAAAATGTGGGTGATTTTGTTTTAAATAAATAAAATATTACATTATTAATATATATTAGCATTTGCCTACACACTCTATATGTATGAACACATTTTTTTAGAAAATGAGAAGGAGAGAGGAAGAGAGAGAACGTGGGGGGGAGTAAGAGGTTTTTTTTTTTCTTTTCTTATATATATATATATATATATATATTGGAGGTATTTTAACATCACATGTAGGTGAGTCTTCAATAAAAAACAGTAAAATTTAGACAGGGCTGGCACCAAACTTGTTGGAACCACCTACGAGTTGAAACCACCTATTGTGGTCCGTATGACAGGGCTGACACCAAACTTGGATCCAAAGTGAGCGTGCGGTACAGGAGGCGAACATCACGTGAAAGAATGTGCCCTGGCCTTAGGTGGGAGCACTAACACCAGGGTGCAGTAATAATGAGCTCTAAATGTATTTAAGCATAACAATATGCCATGCAACCAATACCATCACAATATACTCACTTGAAGCTTACCTGAGCCTCTGCAACATCAAACGATATAATTTATGATTTATAATAATGCAATACTTAAAACGCAACTCATTTTCGACATGGCATTTAAAGCATAGTTCATATAAAAATGTTTCTGGAAACCATAAAGCGCACACACACACACACACATACTATAAAAAGGAAGAAACCCACTCACCTGGAGTCCGCGCAACAACTCCCTAGCACAAACATCGACACAAATGATTGGCGCGTAGAACAAACATCAAACCACATCTCAGAATCTTTATCAATAGAACTCATAACTTACATAAAACACATCCCCAAGGACATTCTAGAATGATTTGAGACTCATTGACCAAAAGTTAATCATCGGTCAAAGATCGACGGTAGGGTATACAACCCTATGTAACTCGATCTGGAAGATCCGCACCTGGGATTTTGGATTCGTAACTTCCAAATATCCACATTATGCTTCTAAAACATCATAGTAAAGTTTCATTACGATCCAACGGTTGGATCTCCACCAATTGCTAAAACCAAGTGGCGGGCGATGTTTTATTTTACAAACCTACAAATCTAATTCGGAAAGACTCATACATTAGATTCCTGATCCGTAAATTCCTATGGTCCTTAAATATTACATACTATAATATATTAAAGTTTGGTGACAATCCAACAGTCAAATCGTCGATTACTATTCTAATCAAGTGGCGGACCTTAATGGAACTAGGTTCAAATGACAGAAATTCATCGATTGGACTTCACAAATGGAATCAGGGTTTTAAAATTTAGCCTAGGAAGGTCAGGGGACCTCTTGGCCCATACGCCGTTGCAGGTGGCGGTTGGCCAACCCGACTCGCCGGAAAAATCAACTATTTCCAAAAATTACCAAATTCTATAGACAAATAGATCTCAATAAGAGGAATAATTTTCATACCTGTGGCCAAGTCCAATTTGTCCAAGAAACACTTGAAATCAACCTCGATACGCCAGAAACCCTTGAAATGGGTGTTCTTGACTCGACTTCAAACAAGCTCCAATGCCTCAACCATTGCTTGGGCTCTATTCTTGGGGTTGAGGGGAGTCTATTAGTGGTGGTGGTTGATGGGATTAGCTTCAAATTTTGGTGATTCGAACCCAAAACCACCACACCATACCATGCTGGTTCTCCCAATTTCAAGGCCAAATCCCTTAATTTTTGGGGTGTAATAGGAAGGGGGAAGGTCATGAAGAGTTTTCCAAGTGGTGGTTTGATGAAATACGCTGAAAAAATGGATAATTCACCATCAAAAAATTGGTCAGGTCACTGGTTAAGGGTATGGTCCAATTCTCTCTTTCTTTTCTCCCTCATTTCCCCTCCTTTCCTTTCCTCCTAATTGGCCGGTTCCCTCCCTCATTTCTCTCCTTTCTCTCCTTTCTCTTCTCTCATTCTCATCCCAGCCGTCCATTTCTTCTTTCCCTTTTCTTTTCCTTTCATCCCAGCCATAAACGTGGCATTTCACATGGCTTCAGATTTTCTGGAGCCTTCTAAAGAAGGTTAAAATTACCAAAATATCCCTAACTTTAAACGTTAATATCTCCTTTGTTATAACTCCAAATTACATTCCGGTTGCACCCACGCGTTCGTAACGATGAATACTATGAGGATACATCAAGAAAATAGATCTTGCATGACACATCAAGGTGGTCAAACAAAATCAATGCATTTTCCTTGAAGGGCATTTTCGTACATTCACTTATTAAAATTATAAAAAAAAAAACCGTAAAATTGGAAACAGGTCATTACACAACTCATACAAATAAAAGGGTTTAATATGTTTTGGGGATAATTGGGAGTATGACGCTCTGGTGATTGGGGTGTTGTATCCATAGGGTCCTCGTGGTCGAGCTTTCAGGGAATGACAAGGGAGGTCTGTTTAGCTCGTTAGAGTTAAGATGGTTAATTTAGGTCTCCACATCATAAATAAAAATTATAGCCACTTAGTACTATGGTGTGGTAGTATTCTTCTTCACTTGAAAGTGTA